TATATAATAAATATATTGACGTTAGTCACACAGCCTGGTCGGGCTATACACATAGATGATAGAGCTAAGTTTTTTAATAAAAATGAACTCTTATTCCGATTCAGGATTTGTTGCCTTGTAAAAATTATAGTGAAGGAAGTCGAATAACATAAAATGTTCGCATGCAGTGATGCACGGAGACAGTGGGTTCAAGGATAGAGATGATGTCTAGTACGATGATTGGATAGGATGATGTTAGTTGATAAGATAGGACTGGACATCTTCTCTATCCCTGAGCCAGACAGTGTGCCGTGCTTCACAGCCAGTGTCACAGTGAGTGATCGAGTCACTTCAGTTCATCGAACAACTCGTAGCCAGACGAAGCCCTATTAAAAAGCCTTGGTATCTTTCATCCCGAACACAACGGAATAAAGAGCCCTGCACAACAGCAGTGAGTGAGGTGGTACTTGACTTTAAAATAAAAAAATACTCAAGTCCAGTGTCAGAGTGTGAGTGTGTTGAAACTTGAATGAGAACGGGTTGAAGGTGGCAGTTTTATTTTTAAAACGGATTACCAACGAGTTACTTCCATTAGTAACACCGTTGACCAATTAAACATTTTGTTTACAGTCGCTATTACGCATAAAACTTCTCATGTCACTATTTATGGCATCGATTTACACACGAGCATTGTCGCACGCCGTCTTGGCGCGAACGAATGAAAGCGAGCACGTGCATGCGAACTTCCATTCAACGTTCATCAAACAATATTACGATTATCATGAACATAGTGTAAATAAAAAAAATTGATAATCAATACCGAGCACAGAAAATGTTACAATAAAACTAATCTGTGAAATATATCATATACTCACTACGTAACTAGAAGTAGAAGAAACTTGACTTTCACTCATGAAGTACTAAAGGATGCTGCGCCATATTTCGCTCGATCGCAATCAGCTCGAATGCTGCCAATGCCCAGCATGCATTGCAAACCGCCAGTGCTCTAGACTGGATCTTGTTTTCTGTTATCGGAAAATATGGTGTGTACTTTGAAATATGGAGCCCATCTACTAGAAGTAGTGGCAACGTGGATTTCTGGAAAAGAGGGCGCTAGTTCATTGACAAAACTTGCGTCGAACGGACGCATGGTAGATGGATACAGATTAATGAGATTAGAATGTAATATTATAGGAAGAAAACCGTTTGCATCTCATCAAATTATAAAAATATATAAGAAAGGAATGTTTTTACGATTATTTACATTTTTGATCAAGCGTATTATTAAAGCGAATACACACCAATTCAGATGTCTGAGTCCATTAAAAACGCAGTAGACACGCATTTATAGCTCACGCTATAACTATATATAAATAAATAACTCTCTGTTCAAAGTAACTATAGTTCCTCTGTAAGATTCACTCTTTGTTCAAAGAAACTACAGTTCCTCTGTAAGCTTCACTCTTTGTTCAAAGTAACTACAGTTCCTCCGATTCCTATCCGTCGATCGTCCCGAAAAGCGAATCTGCCGCGAAGCTCGGGGTAATGTATCGACGAGAAGAAGATGCCTCGACCCGACCGTCCGCCAACTTACCGATAAGAACAGCGCCGAGGGTCTCAAACACGCTGGCGAGGATGCACGCTTGTCGCATAGTGAGCACCTTCGATCCAACCGAAGTTCCAAACGAGTTCGCGACATCGTTCGCGCCGATTCCGAACGCTAGGACAAAGGCGATGATAAATCCGACAATGACGATCCAGAGCGCTTCATCTAACATGATTACGAGTCACGGGGGCAGTCAGGGGGCACAACTGAAAATTGTTTACGGCCTGTTCGCCACGATGCAGTCGTACGTTTTCGCGTACGATCGTGAGCGAACGCGATGGCGCGGCAGTCTTCAGTCGTCGAGTATTTGTCTTGCAGCTATCGCGGTGACTGTGAGGTGGCCGGCAGCATAGTCAGTATTCGCTAGCATTCAAAATATTTACAGAGCTAAATGCACACGTAGAGAAATTAAATTTCTCTCCTCCTAGCCGTACGACACGCTCGTCACGCTTTCTTCTACTTATCGCAGATCTTAAGACTTCTTTATCCTCGCAGCTTGGCACATACACGTTCTCAAGACTTTCCCACTTTCGCAGCTCGATGCGACTATGGCTTCTTTGGCAGAGCAGCAGCGTTGCTGGACGTTATACGCAATTACCACGGCAACAGGGGGTGTCTTGGCTGGCTTCCTCTGAATGGGGCGTCAATTGGGATCAGCTTCGCAGGACTGGTGGTTGGCCGGTCTACGAGGCTGCACCTGTACTACCTCAGCACGTCGGACAGGAAAGTGCAGAGATTACTAACGTGATGAACGTCTCTCACTGACATTTGGATAGGTACGCTCCGCCAGGGAGTCGATTGGAGCTGCAGGAGCGCCAACCGTAACCTCACGCCTGCAACACAGAAGAGCGGGCAAAAATTAACGAAAGGGTGCAAAAGAACAAATCAAGATCCTCAGAGCTGGACAACTACACATTTACGCGAGTCACCATACGCCCTCACCGTTAGAGCGTAGTTACGCGAGCCACGTGAGTTCGAGTGACCTGTATCATTTAAATCAAACACATTTGTTTACATATATATATATATATGTACCATCCCATAAGTACTTGTAAAGCTTATTATCTGTGTAAGCATGTTTTCTCTCCCTCCCACACACCTTTGAAACAACATAAGAGCTGTAAGTACATGATTTGTGACAAGAAAGCCATGCATAAAGTTATTAGAATGAACACTTTTATAACATTGAACAACATTCTCAGCTCCATTTCAATTTGACAGAATTTTATAAGTGATTTTTAACTGTAGCTGGCATTCAATAACTAGAAGGACTTTAACAACGCGATGCTGCACGACACAAGGCTTACCCTACCTGATAGCATATATATATATATGTTTTATTCCCTTATCAACTACGCAAGAAATAATATTCGCGATTTACATCTAGACGATAATAACCAAGTTATAGCATTTCCGCTCCTTTATCCTACAGAAATTCTGGGAATTCGCGCACTTCATCATACGTGGAATGAGGAAGTGCAGAGTGGATCTTGCTATTGATTGAACACTGCTCGGCAAGATACATGCACGCGTAGTTGTAGATTGATGTTTCCTGGTTTTCAATGTTTTAATATTTATATATATACACGAGTATATGATGCTTATTTATGCTCGCGCCAACGCGAGTTGCAACGCTATGGTATGTTATGTCGTTTCAGGTTTCCCGCATTCCGATCGAAACGCATGCGCAGTGGAAACATGGCGGTTGGTGGTTAAAGTGAAATTTAAGTTTGGCTCTTGAAATTTACACTGTGCACAGCGAACTGAGGTATTAGTTTTAATAACAACGCTGGAATACTATAAGGTGAAGGTTATACTTATACTTGATACAAAACAAGGCAGAAATGCTTAGATGATTATTTTATTTGAGATATACGTAATTGTTCGGCAGTTTTTGTAGAGGTACAAGATTATCCAATGGATGGATGTCAGGCTGTGTATATAATAAATATATTGACGTTAGTCACACAGCCTGGTCGGGCTATACACATAGATGATAGAGCTAAGTTTTTTAATAAAAATGAACTCTTATTCCGATTCAGGATTTGTTGCCTTATAAAAATTAGTGAAGGAAGTCGAATAACATAAAATGTTCGCATGCAGTGATGCACGGAGACAGTGGGTTCAAGGATAGAGATGATGTCTAGTACGATGATTGGATAGGATGATGTTAGTTGATAAGATAGACGTGTGTGGATGTGTGTGTGTGTAAGAATAAGAAAAAGCCCCCCAAAAATACAAGGGTCAGTAAGCAGCGAGGGGAAAAAGAGAGGGGCTGATTATAGAGCTGAGAGCGTGCACTAGCTTAGCATAAGTAATCGTTGTGCTTCGTTCGCACGTTAACATGCGTGGTTTAATTGCTGCACACATAGAAATATATAGAGACACTAACTAGTATATTATTTCTATGGCTGTACACCAGCCGGTATTAGTGCCACGTACGTAGGCTATATGTCGGCGATGAGGCCAGTTGAATCCGGCAGCCCCACGTGTGCAGTGGCGTTAGCCTGAAGCGAACAGCATGCAGCAGCAGCAGCAGCAGCAGCAGCAGCAGCATCGGGTGATCCGGTGAAGACTGACGCATCATGGCAGCCGGTTAAATGTTTCCATGTGCTATAAGGCGCGCACTCTCACTAGCGTAGAGAAAACACGCCAAAGTAAACATACACCGGTCGGGGCCGAGATGGCATTTTTATAAATAGAAAATTAAAGAGGCGTCGTCGTCCGCTTGGCGCACGAAGCTTGCCCGTCTGTCGGGTATGCCGCCATAAGGCATGAATATGTAGACATGTACAGAATATATATACGAACGCTATGGGTAAGGTACAAGTCCTAGAAGAAACTGCAGCTTTCTATTTAATTCTGAACACAATCTACCAGGGTATATATATATATATAATAATTTAACGCGAGCAATACACACCGCATGGATTTGCTGGTCGAGTGACCCAGCATCATAATAAGAAGACAGACGCACATTTTACGTGCCTCTTGTTTTATTTCAGTTTCGTTGATTTTTTCTTAAGGAGGACGTTCCGGTCATTACTTCAGTCGTTTCTAGGGTTTTTAGTTGTGAACTTTCTTCGTTTTGGTAGAAAGAAATACTGCACATAATTTCAAGCGTACACTATAGGGTTTTTACGAGGCGATGATTGTTCTAGAACCAATACTTCTAAGTATGTATATGCTGAGTTAGGTTTTTGACAGTAATTATTTGCGGCCCAGTTGCAGACAAAGCTAGTTAGTTAGCGATAGTTGGGAAATTACGTTGGAACAGCGCCAAGTTGGCTAAAAAATATGCGTTAACAGTGGTTGTCCTCCAGAACATTTGGTTGTACAGTCAGTAATCAGGCCGCTTATGTGAAACTTGAGCAAGAAGAGTGCGTGGGAGGGACGAGGGTGTGCACACGCTATATATAAGCATGCTCAAGCCTGAAGCGCGTAGAAACGCACTTTCTTACCCGAACTTGATTCGAACACGATAGATCCTGCAGATTTTAGCAGGCTTCGAGTGATAACATGTTGCGAACGAGCTAGTTTTCTGTACGGGGAACCACGAGGAAATACAAGGATCCGACGAAAACTACCGCAAGTCACCTCCAGACCCATATAAATATAAAGATACTATCAAGGGCTAATAATACATTCTATACACAAACATGTATTATTAGCTTTTGATACTATACTAGATCATATATGTGTGGTCTTCGTCAGACGTCAACTCATCAGAGGCGATCGATTATATTGTCATTTCCTGTTTCAACATTTTTTTTTCTTTTTTTTTTACAATACGAATGCTTTCACACTAAGCGCGTCGTCGGGACGTTCACGTCGTTCCTGATCCTGCTTGCAGTATGTTATGAAAGAGTAGTCATTCTGCTCAAACAGATGGCTGCGAATTATGCCGACAAAAAAATTCCACCAGTTGCTCGTATTTTTAGCGCAACTTGCACGTATATATACGGAAAGCCGGCTATTGCGGTAAAGTTTGTTAGCGTGGCGGTACCTTGCGACATTATATGAGAGGGTTAAGCGGGCGCTTTTTTACGACGTCGATGTTTTGGCAACATGATGCGGTTGTTTCCGATGCGGGCTAGTTAACAGTCGAAGATCTGTCGTCGAAAGATTTTCCCCGAACATCCGTGGCTATCCGTGGCATACACAAACACACACACACACACACACACACACACACACACACACACACACACACACACACACACACACACACACTACTACTGCGCGGCGCATTATACCCCTGGAAGGAGCAATAACGCCCTCGTAATATTATGAAATATATAATACTCAAGAATATACACACGGAACAATAACATCACAGCGTAACCTTGTGTCATTGATCTCCATTATAGTATCATATAAAATTTATATAACCAGGCGTAAATGAATTAATTCACTACCGGTATTATAGATATCATAGACTACTGCCCGACAGGTGCTGCCCTCTTTACGTGGACGTGTGCGTATAAGAGTCATGATAGCTGATAGCTGACAACGCGCATCACCTTGAACTTAGGCTAGGAATGTTCTTACTATAATATTAGGTCTAGAGCAACCAAATATTAAATATTAATGATAAATGTGTGCGTTGCATGAGAAATAAACTCAATACCTGCATCTTAACGAAAATATTGGGCTATCGGAATTATAACCAATGCTTCATATAAGGGGTTTAATGAGTTTTTGCATTGCAACGTAATGCACGGACTAATACTAAGATAATACATAAATAATACATTTAAAAAAAGACTAATCTGTAGTAGTACCTCGATTCGGGTACGATCCTGCTTTTATGCCTTGGAGTAAAGCACGTATCCTGATTTTCTCTATTAGTAACCCGCTGGCAGTAGAAATGGGAATATTGTTATTGTGTGATAGATAGCTTAGTGGTGAAGATATAGTAACTGAAAATCGGTTGGCTCGGATGCAAATCTAGACAATTCACTATAATTTCTCCTGTTCCTGGGCAAAAGATATTTGGTTACTTTTATTTTCCCGTATAGAAGTGGGATAATACTCTATATATCGCTCCTGTGAAATATAGATTTAAGAAATCGTCGTAGGGCATAAAAATAATAAAATTATCACTTTTGACAATTTTAGATACTGTAGATAATATTATATGTTAAAAAGACCATGTTCTATCAATCAAATTTATCTATACCATGCGTATTAGATCGATTTTTGTATGAGGCAATGAATATATTCAACTAGGCACAGGATGATCTGGTCCGTCTTGTAAGTGTGCAATGCGGCGATAATACTTAGTTAAAGTTTGGAGGTTTCCAAGAAACGATTTCTTATGAAAATCTTTACTCGAAGAATGGGAATTTATTGCGAACACTAATCCCCATTATTTTTATGAAAAGACATTTTATAACAAGTTATATCATGCATCCGATATATTGATACGCACATGAGTTCGCTGATTTCCCCTGCTCGTTATTTTCACATTAAGCAGTTACACATAATTGCAGCTGATATCACACACCCACCGCTTATACACTAGCATCATATACGGCTACTATACGTGCAATATTATTTACTCGTCCATCTGGCGGTGTTATACAGCGTTTAAATACCTCGTCTCCATCTGATCTCATACATACGCTCGTCCTAGTTGTATACTACTAGTCCTATAGTTTACTATACTTATATAGCTAATATCATATCGTTCTTCACCAGGATATAGGGGTTTATATTGTTGATAAAGATGCTTAGTGGAGACATTACAAAATTTAATACGTTCGACTTTTATCAAATGGAGGGCATGAGGCTCATCAAGAGTGTATAATATAGACTATACTGTATAATATAATATAATATGATATAATATAGTATAGTAAAATATTATAGTAGTATAGTGTATAATATATAGTCTATATTATACACTCCTGATAATATGTTGTTCTAGCAAACGCGTGCACCCTGCCAGAAGCCTATGAGCTGTAAGAAGACAGCCAGCACATCGAGAAACTAGATGATATAGGCCTAGTCTCTTATTATTATATGATATCTTCAGTCAGTTATGGCCGCGCGCGTGTGTGTCGTTAGCGCGTGCGTGTCTGCCCGAAAGCTACCAGCGAGCTAGTCGACACAAAGTAAAGCAGATGTGAACTCGAGCTGCTGCATTGGTGGATTACATTTCGGCTATTTTTGTCGGTCGGGGTTGGCCCGGTTCGCGGTCAGTAAGGAGCGCTGCGGTGATGGAGCAAGATGGGAGAAAGAATATTCGGCTCCATGACGACGGCTAGCCACCCATGCCTGCCCGGTAAGTGTCACGCGCACATATATCCTCACATCTCGTTATAATTGCCTGCGTAAACGCTTACGACTCTCTCTCTCTCACGGAGACGCGGAGTTGAAACGCCGCCAAATAGATGCGGGATTTTTTTCCCATCGTCGAATTCGATGATCGCATCTGGAATGGAAACGGAGAAATAGCGACGGCGGTGCTGCATGCATGCCAATAACTTGAACTCGTACGGCTCGTTTAGCATATCCTTTTCATTAACATCGTTCCGGTGCACGCACGCTTGTATCCGTGCAGAAATCCGACTACTCTCTCTCTCTTCTCTTGCTCCACGCTCCTCTTTCTCTCTCTCTCTCTCACGCTCTCGTCTCTTTCTCTCTCTCGTCTCTCTCTCATTTTGCTCTCTCTCTCTCTCCTCTTCTCTTCTTCCAAGACCGACAATGGACGCAGATGCGTTCTATTCTCTCTCTTCTCTCTCTCTCTCTCCGGTCATCCTTCTCTTTCTCCCTCTCCTATCACTTCTCTCTTTCTCCCGTCT